TGTCTTGCCTTGTCCTGTCCTGTCCTGTCTTGTCCTGTCCCATCCTGTCTTGTCATGTCTTGTTGTCTTGTCCTGTCTTGTCTTGTCTTGTCTAGTATTGTCCTGTCTTGTAGTGCCTTGTCTTGTCTAGTCTTGTCGTGTCTTGTTTTGTCTTGTCTTGTCTTGTCTTGTCTTGTGCTGTCTTGTCTTGTCTTGTCCTATCTTGTTTTTTTTATTGTCTTGTCTTGTCTTTTTTTTTTTGTCTTATCTTGTCTTGCCTTGTCTTGTCTTGTCTTATCTTGTCCTTTATTGTCTTGTCTTGTCTTGTCTCCTGTTGACCTTTTCTGCCTTGTCTTGTCTTGTCTTGTTTTGTCTTGTCTTGTTATGTCTTGTTGTCTCGTCTTGTCTTGTCTTGCATCGTCTTGTCTTGTCTTGTCTTGTCTTGTCTTGTCTTGTCTTGTCTTGTCTTGTCTTGTCTTGTCTTGTCTTGTCTTGTGCTGTCTTGTCTTGTCTTGTCTTGTCTTGTCTTGTCATGTCTTGTCTTGTCTTGTCTTGTCGTATCTTGTCTTTTATTGTCTTGTCTTGTCTTGTCTTGTCTCATGTTGGCTTTTTTTTGTCTTGTCTTGTCTTGTCTTGTCTTTTCTTGCCTTGTGCTGTCTTGTCCTGTCTTGTCTTGTCTTGTCTTGTCTTATCTTGTCTTTTATTGTCTTATATTGTCTTGTCTTGTCTTGTCTTGTCTTGTCTTATCTTGTCTTTTATTGTCTTGTCTTGTCTTGTCTAGTCTCCTGTTGGCCTTTTTTGTCTTGTCTTGTCTTGTCTTGCCTTGTGCTGTCTTGTCTTGTCTTGTCTTGTCTTGTCTTGTCTTGTCTTGTCTTATCTTGTCTTGTCTTGCCTTGTCTTGGCTTGTCTTGTCTTGTCTTGTCTTGTGCTGTCTTGTCTTGTCCTTGTCTTGTCTTGTCTTCTTGTCTTGTCTTGTCTTGTCTTGTCTTGTCTTGTCTTGTCTTGTCTTGTCTTGTCTTGTCTTGTCTTGTCTTGTCTTGTCTTGTCTTGTCTTGTCTTGTCTTGTCTTGTCTTGTCTTGTCTTGTCTTGTCTTGTCTTGTCTTGTCTTGTCTTGTCCTGTCCTGTCCTGTCTTGTCCTGTCCTGTCCCATCCTGTCTTGTCATGTCTTGTTGTCTTGTCCTGTCTTGTCTTGTCTTGTCTAGTATTGTCCTGTCTTGTAGTGCCTTGTCTTGTCTAGTCTTGTCGTGTCTTGTTTTGTTTTGTCTTGTCTTGTCTTGTCTTGTGCTGTCTTGTCTTGTCTTGTCCTATCTTGTTTTTTATTGTCTTGTCTTGTCTTTTTTTTGTCTTATCTTGTCTAGTCTTGTCTTGTCTTGTCTTGTCTTATCTTGTCCTTTATTGTCTTGTCTTGTCTTGTCTCCTGTTGACCTTTTCTGTCTTGTCTTGTCTTGTCCTGTTTTGTCTTGTCTTGTTATGTCTTGTTGTCCTGTGTTGTCTTGTCTTGCGTTGTCTTGTCTTGTCTTGTCTTGTCTTGTCTTGTCTTGTCTTGTCTTGTCTTGTCTTGTCTTGTCTTGTCTTGTCTTGTCTTGTCTTGTCTTGTCTTGTCTTGTCTTGTCTTGTCTTGTCTTGTCTTGTCTTGTCTTGTCTTGTCTTGTCTGTCTTGTCTTGTCTTGTCTTGTCTTGTCTTGTCTTGTCTTGTCTTGTCTTGTCTTGTCTTGTCTTGTCTTGTCTTGTCTTTGTCTTGTCTTGTCCCTGTCCTGTCCTGTCCTGTCCTATCCTGTCTTGTCATGTCTGGCTTTCTTGTCCTGTCTTGTCTTGTCTAGTATTGTCCTGTCTTGTCGTGCCTTGTTTTGTCTAGTCTTGTCATGTCTTGTCAGGGCCAACTTGGAGGGTAGTCCCAGCCCGGTTGTCGAAAGGAGTCCAGAGGTTCACAGAGCCCCCACTCTGCCGAGTCGACTGGCGAATCGTCTTTTCCTTGGTGCTCGAGGAGGGGCGCTGCGCCCGCAATCTCTGCGGATCTGCGGTTGTCTTAGCAAGAAGGGCGCTTTGCTGCATGGGATTCGTGCCCTCTTCCCCGAGGAGGGTCGCCTTCTGAAAGCACGTCCCTTGGCACTCGGACCCGCACCACGCGCCACGGGCGCGCTATAGAGGATCCGGGATCCTGTGCGGGATCGTGCGCGCGCGTGCCTGCTCCGAGCGCCAAAAGGGAACGGTGTATTGATCTGTGATGGTCCTGGGGCCCGAAACCAAGCGTTCACGCACGGTGTGAAACAAATGCGACCCCCGTATTCCCAACCATCTTATGGTGTTGGGTCCTCGCTTTGAAGAGACAGCGCCCCGCGTCCCACCCACTCACTCAGTCACTCACTCAGTCACTCACTCAGTCACTCACTCACTCACTCACTCATTCACTCCTCCTCCTTCTCCTCTTCCTCCTGCTTCTCCTCCTCCTCGTCCTCCTCGTCCTCCTCCTCCTCCGCCCTCTCCTCCTCCTCCTCCTCCTCCTCCTCCGCCTCCTCCTCCTCCGCCTCCTCCTCCCTCCCTCCCCCTCCTCCATGCGTTTCACCCACCGAGTACAGCGTTTCGTAGGCCCATGAGAGCTCCACCGAAGGCCCCAGAGGGGGGGGTACGACATGCGCTCCACGTAAGGCCCCACGGCGGGGGTACCACATGTGTCTGCCACACCCAGTGTTGCGTTTCGTCGCCCCATAAGGAACTCCACCGAAGGCCCCAGTGGGGGGTACCACATGCGTCTGCCACACCCAGTGTGGCGTTTCGTGGTCCACGTGAGGCCCCCAGGGGGGGGGATACCACATGCGTTTGCCACACCCAGTGCAGCTTTTCGTCGGGGTACCACGTGCGTCTGCCACACCCAGTACAGCGTTTCGTTGCCCCATAGGGAGCCCCATGTAAGGCCCCAGTGGGGGGTACCACATGCGTCCGCCACACCCAGTACAGCGTTTTGTCGCCCCATAGGGAGCTCCACGTAAGGCCCCAGAGAGGGGCCATACCCAGTACAGCGTTTTGTCGCCCCATAGGGAGCTCCACGTAAGGCCCCAGTGGGGTACCACATGCGTCTGCCACACCCAGTACAGCGTTTCGTGGCCCCATAGGGAGCCCCACGTGAGGCCCCAGTGGGGGTGGCCACATGCGTCCGCCACACCCAGTACAGCGTTTCGTGGCCCCATAGGGACCGTCCGCATGCGCCCCGCACACCCAATTGGCATTTTCACCCACGCAGTACAGCGTTTCGTGGCCCCCATAGGGTGCTCCACCGAAGCCCCCAGTGGGACCGCCCACATGCGTCCCACACACCCAATTTGGTAGTTCCACCCACCCAGTGCAACGTTTCGTGGCCCCGTAAGGAGCTCCACCGAACCCCCCAGTGGGACCGTCCGCATGCGTCCCGCACACGCAATTTGGTATTTTCACCCACCCAGTATAGCGATTCGTAGCCCCCTTAGGAGCTCCACCGAAGCCTCCAGTGGGACCGTCCGCATGCGTCCCGGGAGCCCAGATGCGCCCCAGAGCGTCTCGCAACGCTCTCGGAGCGTTCCAGAGTGCTCTGGAACGGCTGCGGCGCCCGCTGCCTCCTCCAGAGCCGTTGGAACTCAGAGCTCCCCGATCTGTCCCGATCCGATTTCGTCCCGTTCTGGTTTCGTTGTCGGGGACAACGATGAGTTGGGGGTAATTTGGCATGGAGGGGGGATGCATCGAGCCCCAAGTGTCCATTCATCGCCGATAGGGGCCCGATGGCCCACCGCCGCCCATGAACGCGCGAATTCATTACCGGGGATCTATCGCCGATCTATCGGCGATGTATCGCCGATTCCAGGTCGATGTTTTCCCACCTGGGCCAGTCCTCCCCTATCGTTGTCCCTCGCCTTTTGCGGAGGAAGGTCCCCCCGATCTCTTTGGCGAGCCCAGACCGACCTGCGGGCAAAGTCCTCGCATCCTTCGGTCGCAAATCATGGGAGCCTTGTGTACCCTCGCAGTTCCGTTTTTGGAGTGCACTGGCGCCGCATGGCGTCTGAGGGTCGATGAGAGATCGCCAACTTGGCGCTGATTCGTGCCGACTTGGCGCCGATGTGGCGTCGATTGGCGTCCACTCGCGCGAGCCAGCAAGAATCGGACGGGGATAGGACGAGGATAAATCCGTTCTGGAGCCTTCGGAGCGCCCCGAGAAGGCCGCGGCGCCCGAGAGACGTCGCCCGGAGAGGCCGGCTCTGGGAGGTTCCCGACTGCATCTCCTCGAGCGATTCTGTGCCCGTCCTGGCTTCGTCTCGAGGGGAGTCGGCGGCGAGCGACGGGGGGAAGTGAGAAGGAGAAGGCCTTCTCAGAAGGCGGCGGGGCTTCTCAGAAGGCCTCGCGCCTCACGAGAAGGTTTTCTTTGTGTCTTCGGGGAAGGCTCAACGACAACTTCTCGGAAGGCCGGGGGACTTCCGAGCCTCTGAGAGAGCCCGCCCCTTCTCGCTCCCACCCGGGGCTCGCCGCCGAGCGTTGGCAGATCCGAGCTCCAGCGCACTCGCGAGTCTCATGCTTCCCCGACACAGGCGGTGGCCATCCCCTGAGATCCAGCATTGCAGCCTCGCCAAAAATCCCGCACCGGCTTTGGGGCCATAGCTCGGCCTCCCAGCGGCCGTGCTCGGGACGATCCAGGCCCACCCCTGGCATGCCCTCGGCCAGGCGCCGCTGCCAGAGAGCACGCTCCGAGGCTGGAGAACCGCCGGGGACCCACGAACGCGCCCGAAGAGCTCGAACAACGCTTTCCCCCCCCCCCGGGCTCGCCGCCGAGGGTCGGGGGCGGAACAGAGGGGGGTGATGCCTAGGGGGGGGTGGATCTCATGGCGGGGGCCATGAGATTTCCCCAGATCTCACGGCGCCTCCTCTTGTTTCGTTGCGTCCCTGGCCCCCCCGCTGGGCCGCGCACATGCCGCCGGTCATGATTTGCACCCCCCCCCCTCTTGGACACCCCCCTCTTGGCCGCTCCCGAGAGGGAGGCTCCCACGATTTGCCTCCGAAGCGCCCTCGGCACTCGGCCCCCGACGCCGCCGACGAGCTCACGGCGCTCAACGGCGAGGCCCGCCCGGGCGGCGCGCGGCGGGGCGCGGACCACGGCGGGCCGGCGCTCGGCGGAGCGGCGCTGGGCGGGGCGCTGGGCGGGGCGGCGGCGCGACGGCTGGACTACGACGAGGGGGAAGGCCAGAGCATCACACACGGCACAAACTCGGAGGAGGAAGAGGTACTCCAGATTTCGTAACAAAAGGGAGGGGGTCACAACCCTCCCAGACGAGAAGTTTTAGACCCCCCAGACTATCCATCAAAGGGCGGCCCTTTGCCCAGACCCCCCCGAACCCTCCAAGACAGCTCAAATCAGACCCCCCCCCCCGAATGTGACCCCCCCCACTTTGTTATGGAATCCGGAGTACCCCTACCTCTACCCCCTCGCCCGTTCTCCCCCTTTTTGGGCCTCCGTGGCGGCCCTCGTCGCCATCGCTGGAGTCGCCTCGAACTTCCGGGCAGAAGGCACCCCGGGAGAGGCGCAGGGGGTAGACGCATCGGCACCTTTTGGTTTCGCCAAGAGCATCGAAAACGGCATACATCAAAGAAGAACGAACGCCGCAAACATAATTTTGTGGCGCTCCGCGCGGATTTCTCGGATCGGCGCCACGGCCCCGCCGGCGGCGCCTCCTGCGCCGCCCCGGGCGCGCTCCGCGCAGATCCAAGAAATCCGCGCGGACCGTTGAAAGTCTATGATTGTGCCGCTTTTCTTCTTCTGAGTGTTCTCCTTCTTCCTCTTCTCCTTTTTCTGATTCTTCTTCTCCTTCTTCTTCTTCTTCTTCTTCTTCCTCTTCCTCTTTTTTTCCTTCTTCCTCTTCTTTTTCGTCCTCTTCTTCTAACACACATCTTCCTCCACGCTTCGCGCGCCCCCACACCTTCCCATGCAGAAGCGCTGCCCACGAGAGGTGGTGGGAAGCGGGAGGGAGAGGCCCATGGAACCAGTGGAGCGGTGAGCGGGCACGGAGGGGGGGGGGGGCGAGGAGCGTGCGCAGCCATCGTGGAGGTGCTGTGCCAAGAAGAAGACTCCTCAGGACCGACGACGGTGACTCTAGGGATTAGGGATTCGGCCAAGGACGCGAGGACGCGCCCACTCCGTGCCGAGAGGCACGGTGGCGGCTACACGGCATATAAACCTACTTTCCGCGAGGTCCGTGCGGATTGTTTGGATCGGCCCCTGGGGCCCACCGGCGCTGCCCCTGGCGCGCTCCGCGTGCCACGGAGGGGGGCTCAGCGCAGATCCCAGGCATCCGCGAGGCCAGAGCAGGGACAGGCACTGAGACCGCTACAACAACTTCCCTATCTTGCCCCTTGTCTGGCCTCGGGGGAGGCCCTCGTCGCCGCCGCCCGATTCGCCTCCGAATGCTGGCCAGAGCGCGCCCAGGGAGAGGTCTGGGCAGTAGCGATATCGGTACCTCCCTGAGATCCTACGTAGCGGAAAAATTCCAACACCGTAAGACTCACGCCCAGAGCACGAGACCCCACCGTTCTGCATCATTCTTCGAGCCGCATCGATCTGTGAGGGTCCTGGGGCCCGAACTCGAGCGCAAACGCCAGTTGTGAAGACGTTGCAGCGCGAGGATCTGAGGGCTTTTGGCTTCCCCAGAAGGCGCCAGAGGGCTACGTCGAGGGCCAGCGGACTACTACGACTACGACGGGGCTGCCCACGGAGGCTCCCCCTGTGGGGTCGGGGCAGGACGAGGAGGAGGAGGAGGAGGAGGAGGAGGAGGAGGAGGAGGAGGAGGAGGAGGAGGAGGAGGAGGAGGAGGAGGAGGAGGAGGAGGAGGAGGAGGAGGAGGAGGAGGAGGAGCGTCCGAACTCACTACACACCTCATCACATCCACTACGCTCAACAATTCCAGCTACCAGACCAACAACAACAGCCCCAAACAACCACCCTGCCATCAATACGTCCAACCACCAACCACCAGGCCCTACAACACGACCCAGTGTCCACCAGACCGACAGCACCACGGCTGCGATCCAACGATGCCACGCGCACCAATAGCACCACTCCTCGCAGCCAGACGCCGCACCATACACCCCCGTGAACCAAAGGGCCCACCACTTCGACAACCGATCCCAACGGCGTTAGGACGCAAGTTCTGAGGAAACCCCGAATGCGTGGTAACACCTCAGGCAGCGTCGCCACGTATTGCTGGAGGCGTTAGGACGCAAGTCCTGGGGAAGCCCCGAATGCGAGGGAACACCCCAGGCACAAGTCGCCACGTTTAGCAGAACAGAAGCACGCAGCGCTGTCACACGCACACGTTTTAGCGGTTACCAGCAGCCCAGACCACAGACGACCTCAACGACCGCCAACCACCACCGACCAACCAGTACCAGCAACCATGAGACAGCCCCACCCACACAACGTCACAAGTCTGTCCTGGTGAGGCAAGGATCAACCTTCGGGATGGGCTCGAAGGGTGGGGCCAGGACGAGCGCTGCCCGCGCCTACCAGGGGGGATGGTGAGGAGCAGGGGGGGAGGTAGGACGGCCGCCACCCGCGCCCCCGCGGTCCGCCCTAGCTCGCCACCCCCACCATCCCCACGACGGAGGAGGAGCTCACCCGTACGCCGACATGGCAGAGCGGAGGGCAAACGTGGCCGACCCCACCGCGACTGCAGCAGCGCCAGGCCTGGGGTTCGCCCCGCCTGGGGGCACGGTGACCCCTGGCCGCAGCGGGACGAGGTGGGACAGCCAAGACCCCCACTTGAAGTCGGTGCGTGGAGGCCACCAGGTGCGAGCCCCACCCACACACCCACACACTCCAACATGCTACCACAAGGGCCGACGACAGAGTGCGAGAAATGTGGAGCCACCAGAGCCGCACGACTCCAGCAACCTGACCTCGCAGAGCAGCGCAGGGAGCTGGAGATCTTGCAGGACGATAAGACGCAAATAGGACACGACACACGGGAACCCGAGGGAAAGGTGGCCAGGAGCAGGGACCGCACACCTCGAGCCTCACAGAAACACAGCTAAACAGAAGGACAGGAGCAGGACCCACACCGCCAGAGCCGCACGAGGACCTGGGGAAAGGTGACCACGAACAGGGGCCACACACCCGGGCACACGAAGATGGAGCCAATGAATTAGGGAGTTCTAGGGAAAGGTGGTCAGGAGCAGGGACCACACACCTAGCGACCAACGATGGCAGAGGACGAAGGAAAGGTGGTCAGGCCCATGGACCACACACCCTGTTTCAAGGCCAAGGGGCAGCCCGCCCCGACCCTGGTCTCAGCGCGAGGCGCCGAAGGGAGCCCAGCCGTCGCTGTGAGGCCAGCCAGGCAGAAGCGGGCTCGAGGGAAGGTGGTCAGGAGCAGGGACCGCATACCTCGGGGCCCGAAAGGAGCTGAGGAAAGGTGGGCAGAAGAGCCACTCCCCCACACCCCGCTGGACCTGGGGAAAGGTTGCCAGGAGAAGGGACCACACACCCAGGCCCACCCGAAGAAGGGGCAGTCTGCCTTCCACAGCGGCTGGGCTCAGCGCTCCGCGCCGAAGTGAGCCCAGCCGCAGCCAGAGCGGTCAGCCTGGCCCCGGCCCGCGAAGAGGCCGAAGGGAGCTGGGGAAAGGTGGGCAGGAACGCCGCTCCCCCAGACCCCGCTGGACCTGGGGAGAGGTGGCCAGGGCCAGGGACCACACACCCAGGGCCAGCCGAAGAGGGGACATCCGTCCTCCACAGCGGCTGGGCTCAGCGCTCCGCGCCGAAGGGAGCCCAGCCGCAGCCGAGCGGCCAGCGTGGCCCCGGCCCACGAAGAGGCCGAAGGCCAGGCCGAGAGCCGCGCCGCGGGCGCTGCCTGACGCCCGCGGGCGCGGGCGCGCGCGGCGCCCGTCCAAGGGCCCTTTCGGGCCTCCTTTTTTTGAAACCTAGCCTCTCTCCCCTCCCCCGAGGTATTTACTGGTCCCTGGTCCTCCTTTGCTCGAGGTCGGGTTCCCGGGGCCGCCGTCTGAGTGCCCGCACGGCCCTCGTGGGCTGCTGTGGCGCGCTCCGCGCTCCGGGCGCGCGCGAGACGCTGCTCGGAGCGAGAAACGCAGAAACGCCGGAGGAGGAGGAGGAGGAGGAGGAGGAGGAGGAGGAGGAGGAGGAGGAGGAGGAGGAGGAGAGAGAGGAGGAGGAGGAGGAGGAGGGGAGGGGTGGGGAGGAGGAGGAGGAGGAGGAGAGGAGGAGGAGGAGGAGGAGGAGGAGGAGGAGGAGGAGGAGGAGTGCTGCTTCAGTGGGCTGCCATTGGCCCCCAAGAGGCCCCGCGCGGGGTCGGGGCAGGGGGAGGGCAGCACAGGGGGGGGCGCTTCGCGTGGCCTGGTGTGTTTTGTTTTGGCCTGGTTAATTTTGTGCTGCTTCGTTCTGTGTTGCTGTGTTTTGTTTTGTTTTGTTCTCTTGGTTGCTTTGCTTTGTTTTGTTTTGTGCTGCTTGCTTGGCTGTGGGTGTGTGTGCGCGCGCGCGCATTTTTTTCCGCGGCCGCCGTCTTGGTTTTCTCCATCTCTGGTAGTGCACAACCTGCTGCACATCCGCCCTGTGCCGCTCGACCGACCTGTGCGCTGGCTGGGTCCGCGACAAAAAATGTTATACTATCTTTCTATCCCCCCTATCGCCTCCCCCTCTTCCCCGCCTTATCATCATCAACATCATCATAACCACTATCATCATCATCATCACCTTCACGATCATCATCATCATCATCACTATCATCATCATCATCATCATCATCATCATCATCATCATCATCATCATCATCATCATCATCATCATCATCATCATCATCATCATCATCATCTTCATCTTCATCATCACCATCACCATCACCATCATCATCCATCTCACCGTCAACATCATCACCACTATCATCATCGCTTTCATTATCAGTATCATCATTACCATCGTTATCCTCACTACCATCATCATCATCATCATCATCATCATCATCATCATCATCATCATCATCATCAGCACCACCATTATCATTATCATCATCACTATCAGCATCTTCTTCATCACTATGATCATCAACATTCTCATCATTCGCAACATCAAATTCATCACTACCATCATCACCATCATCAACATCATCAGCGTCTTCATCGCCACTATCATAATCAGCATCCTCACTATCATCATCATTATCATCATCATCATCATCATCATCATCATCATCATCATCGCTATCATCATCATCATCATCATCAGCATCATCATCAGCATCATCATCATCATCATCATCATCACCAACATCCTCATCAGCATCATCATCATCATCATCATCATCATCATCATCATCATCATCACCATTATCACCATCAACATCAACATCACCATCAGCATCACCATCATCAGCATCAACATCATCATCATCATCATCATCATCATCATCATCATCATCAGCAGCAGCAGCAGCAGCAGCAGCAGCATCATCAGCAACGTCATCATCGTCCGAATCTCACTCATGCGACGTCCTTTCTTCTTCCAGACGCGGTCCCCCACAGTCCCGCTCCCGTCCCCAGGGCCAGCTTTCTCACCCTGGGCCCCTTCCTCTGCGGCCCGCGGGCGCCCGGAGAGCGACCACGGCCCCGAAGGCCGCCCGCTGCCCTCGAGCCACGACGCGAGCCTGCCTGCGCCTCCCTGCCCTTTCTCCCCTCCAGGCACTGCGACGCTCGGATGCTTTTCAAAACTTTTTTGATCTGCTGCCCGCAAGGAAAAGTCCAGAGGGCGTGTCAATCGGGCTGACTGGGGCACAGAGCCAGACAATTTGCGAACTCAGCCGTCACTGTCGACAGCCGACCGCACGTGCGATCATGCAGAGAATGGGCGATGCAGAGGATTGGCGACCTAAGCCGGATGCTTCTCAAAACGCGGGGCCCCGGGAAGCCCCGCCCCCTCCTTCCCCGGGGGGACCAGCTGCTCACCCCGCTCGTAGCTTCCGTGGGGCGGCCCCCGGGGGCTCCTCCGAGGGGCCCCTGGGGGCCGAGAGCGGGGGCCCCTCCGCTCGGGAGCTCCCGAACGACGCGAACCCCACCCTCCCCCTCAGAAATCGGGGGGGGGTAGGGGAGGAGGAGGAGGAGGAGGAGGAGGAGGAGGAGGAGGAGAGGAGAGGAGGAGAAGGAGGAGCAGGAGGAGGAGGGGAGGAGGGAGGAGGAGGGGGAGGAGGAGGAGGAGGGGGAGGAGGAGGAGGAGGAGAGGAGGAGGAGGGCAGAAGAGGAGATGGGGGAGGAGGAGAGGAGAGGAGGGAGGAGGAGGAGGAGGAGGGGGGTAGGGGTAGGGTTCGCATGTGGCCCCCTACGAAAGCGGTCAAGAACCCTCCCGTCCCGATTTTGGTCTGCACGGCGCGATGCCGTCTGTGCTGGCCCCGGGCGGAGGTTCTCCCAAGAGGCCGACCACGGCGCCCCCCCCCCCAAAAAAAAGCCGCCCGCCTCCCTGGAGCCACGGCGCGAGCTCGTCTGCGCCTCCCTGCCCTTCCTCCCCCCGTGGCTCGGCCTCGCCCGGCCGTCGGCATTTTTTCGCGGCGAGGGCCAGCGAGGAGCATCCCGGATCGGAAAAGAAACGCACGAAAAGGACCATCGAGGACCATCGAGGACCATCGATCTCGGCGAGGACCATCGACACACCATCTCGACGAGGACCATCGAGGACCATCGATCATCGCGCCAACCACAAAAACGCACGAAAACGACAAATGCACGGGAAATGGACATCCGAGTGCTGGCGTGCTGGCCCCCCAGACCCCCGACGTCATGTTTTCTTCATAGCGCCGACCCGAGGTCTCGACCCATTCCCCATAGACAAGTTTTTCACCCTGAGTCGTTTTTGACGCTCCCGAGGCCCGCTCAGGGCCCCCAGAGGCCGAAAATATCGAAAAACCTCCCCAGACATTTTTGGTCGGCGGGTCGAGAGCGAGCCTCTTCCGGTCAAGAGCTAGGCGGGCCGCGCAAAGCACTAATTGGGGAGACAGAGCACAGGCGGGCGGGGGCTCAGGCGGCCGGAGGGCGTCAAAAACCTCCCCAGACATGCGACGCCCTGATTTTTTTGTGGATGCGGAGTCACTGGAAGTCCCGACCTTTTCCCTGGGACCGCTTTTTCATCCCGAGTCGCTTTCTGACGGTCCCGAGGCCCGGCGAGGGCTCCCCGAGGCCGAAAAGTGACAAAAACCTCCTGTCGTGTTTTTTTTTTCGCGACACGATCCTGTCTGGGTCCCGTCGCGACTCTTCCGCACCACGCGAGGGGGGCCTGGGGAGCTGGCCCTGGGCGGAGGCTTAAGTCGGGCCTGTCCCTCTACAGGAGGAATGCCCCCAAATGGTAGAACAGTAGCCACGGGGCGATGTTTGGCCTATTTTTGGTCGCTTCGAAATATTGGTTTGGCTACTTTATATGGCTCGCCCAAAAAATCCTCCTGTACAGTCGGGGCGCTGAAGAAGGAACCCTTTTCGTTGGGGAGAGGCTCCGTGTTCCCTGATTGTTTCACAGCTTGCCTTTGGTTTTCCCTAGGTCTTCGATGGGAAGTCGACTTCTGACTTATGGGAAAGAGGGGTCTCGTTCCTTCTTTGGGGTTCCTTAAGTCAATGCCCCGCCTGTAGGAGGACACGCCCGACCCACAGTGCCGTTTTTGATACATGCTCCGCGTGCGGATCGTGCATGAAACATGCAGGGATTCAGTATCATTATCCCGGCATAGCAACCTGACAGCGATGTTTATGAGCATATCTGGAAGAATTCCCCTTAAGAGATGAGAATCCAGTTGTAGAATTCTGCTGTTCTCGCAGTCGTAGTCGCATTCGCGATGACAGTCGCAGTGGCAACGGCAGTCGCAGTCACAGCCTCAGCCTCAGCCTGCCTCAGCCTCAGCCTCAGCCTCAGCCTGCCTCAGCCTCAGCCTGCCTCAGCCTCAGCCTCAGCCTGCTTCAGCCTCAGCCTCAGTCTGCCTCAGCCTCAGCCTCAGCCTGCCTCAGCCTCAGCCTGCAGCCTCAGCCTCAGCCTCAGCCTGCCTCAGCCTCAGCCTCAGCCTGCCTCAGCCTCAGCCTGCATCAGCCTCAGCCTCAGCCTGCCTCAGCCTCAGCCTCAGCCTGCCTCAGCCTCAGCCTGCCTCAGCCTCAGCCTCAGCCTCAGCCTCAGCCTCAGCCTCAGCCTCAGCCTCAGCCTCAGCCTCAGCCTCAGCCTGCCTCAGCCTGCCTCAGCCTCAGCCTCAGCCTCAGCCTCAGCCTCAGCCTCAGCCTCTCAGCCTCAGCCTGCATCAGCCTCAGCCTCAGCCTCAGCCTGCCTCAGCCTCAGCCTCAGTCTGCCTTCAGCCTCGGCCTCAGCCTCAGCCTGCCTCAGCCTGCTCATCCTGCATCAGCCTCAGCCTCAGCCTCAGCCTCAGCCTGCCTCAGCATCAGCCTGCCTCAGCCTCAGCCTCAGCCTGCTAGCCTCAGCCTCAGCCTGCCGTCAGCCTCGGCCTCAGCCTCAGCCTGCCTCAGCCTCAGCCTGCCTCAGCCTCTGCCTCAGCCTCAGCCTCAGCCTCATCAGCTGATCAGCAGCCTCGGCTGCCTCAGCCAGCCTCAGCCTGCTCATCAGCCTCAGCCTGCCTCAGCCTGCCTCAGCAGGCAGCCTCGGCTCCTCAGCCTCAGCCTCAGCCTGCATCAGCCTCAGCCTCAGCCTCAGCCTGCCTCAGCATCAGCCTGCTTCAGCCTCAGCCTCAGCCTGCCTCAGCCTCAGTCCTCAGCCTGCTTCAGCCTCAGCCTCAGTCTGCCTTCAGCCTCGGCCTCAGCCTCAGCCTGCCTCAGCCTCAGCCCTCAGCATCAGCCTCAGCCTGCCTCAGCCTCAGCCTCAGCCTCAGCCTGCTTCAGCCTCAGCCTGCCTCAGCCCTCAGCCTCAGCCTGCCTCTTGCTCAGCCTCAGCCTGCTTCAGCCTCAGCCTCAATCTGCCTTCACCTCGCCTCAGCCTCAGCCTGCCCAGCCTCAGCCTGCATGAGCTCAGCCTCAGCCTCAAGCCTCAGCCTCAGCCTCCTCAGCCTCAGCCTCAGCCTGCCTCAGCCTCAGCCTGCCTCAGCCTCAGCCTCAGCCTGCTTCAGCCTCAGCATCAGTCTGCCTTCAGCCTCGGCCTCAGCCTCAGCCTGCCTCAGCCTCAGCCTGCATCAGCCTCAGCCTCAGCCTCAGCCTGCTTCAGCATCAGCCTGCCTCAGCCTCAGCCTCAGCCTGCCTCAGCCTCAGCCTGCTTCAGCCTCAGCCTCAGCCTGCCTCAGCCTCAGCCTGCATCAGCCTCAGCCTCAGCCTCAGCCTGCCTCAGCATCAGCCTGCCTCAGCCTGCAGCCTCAGCCTGCCTCAGCCTCAGCATCTGCCTCAGCCTCAGCCTCAGCCTCAGCCTCAGGCCTCAGCCTCAGCCTGCCTCAGCCTCAGACTGCCTCAGCCTCAGCATCAGCCTGCCTCAGCATTCAAAATGTGGCCCAGGAATGGAGTTCTGGGAACTCGAAGACCACGAAGTGGCCTACAGTTGGCTTCGGGCATTCAAAATCTTGCCCAGGAATGGAGTTCTGGGAACTCGAAGACCACGAAGTGCGTTACTGTTTGCTAAAAGAGGAGTCCCCGGCATCCTCCCCCGGATCGCGCCCAGACCCCCCTGGGGCGTCATGATGCTCTCTTGTGACCCTACTAGAAGCCTGTCAGTCTTCGCTGTTGGGTAAAAGACAACGAGGAGTTCGTGCATACATTTTTTTCATAGATTAGTCATGTCTATATATATATATATATATATATATATATATATATATATATAAATGGGGAAGGGGTTCCGGGGGGCCCGGGGTGCACTGATTTCAGTACCCGGCCTCTGGCCTCTCCCCTCGGCGGCTCTTGGCTCTCCCGGGTACGTGCGGCAGGCTTTCAAATTGCTCGCAGGCGGCCCGAGGTCGCCGAAACATCGTCCCAAGACGCCCAAGATGGCCTCAAGACGGCCCAGGAGGCACCCAAGACGCATCAAGAGGCCTCCAAGAGGCCTCCCAAGAGGGCCCCAAGAAGCAACAATCGTTGATTTTCATTGGTTTTTACGATGTTTTTTGTCTTCTCGTTTTTTCGGCTTTCCGACGCTCCAAGACCGTCCAAGAGGCTCCCAAAACCGCTCCAAGACAGCCCAAGAGGCTTCCAAGACCGCCCCAAGACGGCCCAAGAGGCTCCCAAAGGCGTCCCAAGACGGCCCAAGAGGGCCCCAAGACGGCCCAGGAGCCGCCCAAGACGGCCCCAGGAGGGCCCCGACAGGGCTCCAAGACTGCCTAAGCGAGTTCAGCGGGCCCCAAGAGAGCCCCGCGAGGCCCTAAGACGCCCAAGAGGCTTCCAAGAGCACCCCAAGAGGCTCCCCGGAGGCCCCCAAGAGGCCCAAAAACTGCTTCCAATACGCTCCCAGAGGCCTCCAAGATGCATCCAAGACGCTCCCCAAGAGGCCCGAAAAACTGCCTCCAAGATGCTCCCAAAACGTTTACGTTTAAACAAAAGTGTTGCAAACCACATTGTTTTTCATTGATTTCACGCTCCCTGATGGCGCCCGAGAGGGCCACGGGGGAAAAAATCTTACCGGGCCGCCCCACGTTTTTTTCTCTGGCCGTAAATCTTATTAGGGCCATAGAAAAAACGCAGATCGTGCAATCTGCCTGGTCCGAATGGTCCTCTTTGGCCTTAGAGCCTAACGTTTTCCTTCGGCCGTAAAGCGTCCTAGGGCTACGGGGGGGGAAAAACGTACCGAGCCGCCCGACGTTTTCTCTCTGGCCGTAAGGCTTCTTAGGGCCATAGAAAAAACAGATCGTGCCAGCTGCCTCGTCCGAACGGCCCTCTTGGGACTCAGAGCCCCGCGAGGCCCCAAGAGGCCCCAAGAGGCTCCCAATAGCCCCCCAAGAGGCTCCCCGGAGGCCCCGAAGAGGCCAACAAATTGCTTCCAACACGTCCCCCAGAGACCTCCAGATGCATCCAAGAGGCTCCCCAAACGCCCCCAAAAACTGGCTCCCAGCATCTCCCAAAACGTTTACGTTTAAACAAAGTGTTGCAAACCAAATTGTTTTTCATTGATTTCACGCTTCCTGATGGCGCCCGAGAGGGCCACGCAAGGCCCCAAGTCAGCCCAAAGATGGCCACACGAGACCCACACCATGGATTATGATAATGAGCCCGAAGCCACGCACGAAACGTCCAGGACTAGAACCTGAGCGCGCGCGTAGCGCGCGCGAATGGTTCTAGTATATATATATATATATATACTCCAGATTTCGTAATAAAAGGGAGGGGGTCTGGACCCTCCAAGACAAGCCATTTCAGACCTCCCCCGTGGGAGAACCCTTTCAAACCTCGCCCCCAGACCCCCCAGGCCCTCCAAGACAGCCTGGAAGAGACCCCCCCCCGAAATGAGACCCCCCTCCCTCTATTACGAAATCTGGAGTATATATATATATATATATATATATATATAAACATGTGCCCAGACCCCCGACGTCATGAATTTTTCATGACGTCGACCCCCAGCGGTCTGGACCCATCCCCCGGGACCGGTTTTTCGTCCTGAGTCGTTTTTTGACGGCCCCGAGGGCCGGTAAGGCCCCCCAGAGGCCGAAAATGGCGAAAAGCCCCCTGTCGTGATTTTTTTTCATAGCTCGAGGGGGTCTGGGCGTATGAAAGCCTGCCCGACCTCAGCGCAGGCCCCGGCGGCTGCAAGCTCAGCGCGTGGGCGGCCGCGGCCTGCCTGCTGGGCCTGCTGGCCTGCGCGGCGGTGCCGGCCTACTGGGCGCTGGGCGGCGCGCGCCGGCGCGCGCCGGCGCAGGGCGGGGCGCCGGCGGCCGCGTCGGAGGGCGAGCTCCCCAACGAGGCCCTCCCCAGACCCCCTCCCTCCTCCTCTCTCCTCCTCCTCCTCCTCCTCCTCCTCCTCCTCCTCCTCCTCCTCCTCCTCCTCCTCCTCCCCTCGAGTTGTGAAAAGATCACGACGGGAGGCATTTCGCCATTTTCGGCCTCCGGGGGGCCTCACCGGCCCTCGGGGCCGTCAAAGAACGACTCGGGACGAAGAACCGGTCCCCGGGGGATGGGTCCAGACCGCTGGGGGTCGACGTCATGAAAAATTCATGACGTCGGGGGTCTGGGTCTCGGGGGCAACGACAGGGGGGGTATAGCCAGGACCCCAGGTGAGGGGACCCGGTCAGCGGTGGGGCCCCGGGGCCCTCGGATTGGCCAGAGTCGCTAAGCCAGGTCTGCCGCAGCTGGTGTTTTTCGGGTGACGGCAGTTCGGCTTGGTGGAGACGGGACGGGGGGGCGCCCCCGGTACAACTCACCAAACCAGGTTCCACTGAACCCAGTTCTGCCAGCGCCCGAGACATGGGGGGGAGGGGAGATGCAAGAATTTGAAGAAAATAGTCTGGAGGCGAGTTCTCTGGCATTTGTTGGCTATTTTTGAGCATTTGTTTGGAGCCTTTTTTGGGCTACTGCTGTTTGTTTCGTCCAAGATCCGCCTGTAGGGGGACATGCCCGACCTAAGCATAGGGGGGGGGAATGCATCGACCCCCAGTCGCCCATGGATCGCCGATAGATCCCCGCAGCCGCAACCTGCCCAGGAGCGTGCGGACTCACTATCGGAGGCCTATCGCCGATGTGTCGGCGATGCGTCGCCGATTCCAGGTCGATGTTGCCCTCTCCTGGGCCAGTGCCCCCCCTGCCCCCTACCGCTGCCCCTCAGGCCATTCTTCCGGACGGGGCCGTGGTCCCGACGGGCACCGCAGTGCAGGACCCGACGCGCGCGCCGAGAAATCTCAGGAGGGGAAAAAACACACAGACACAATTAATCGTCCACTCCCAGGAAAATATGGGAAAATATGGGAAATGGGGGGGAAGACAAAAGCTCAGAAAATATAGGAACATACGAGGAGTTGTGGCGTGCGTGATGTGACGGCCGATGGACGCACCAAAGGTTGTAATGTTCGTGAATTACTCCTACCAGTAATGGCGGGTAATCAGTCATTCAAGTAAGACGTGAAGCGATGCATGCCGTTCAGGGTCAACCAGGCAGCCTCATCTGAGCCTGGCCCACGGAGGGATGGCGGTTGTGGCGTGTAGGCCCGCGTGACCGCTGGACTTTCTTTGGGGGTCTTTTCGGTTCCTCTTGGAATTCTAGCCTGTTCGCGGGCAAATGAATTCATTTTTCAGGTTTTAGGTGCTTGGCAGCGGTCATGCACCCGTCAATTTTTTTCACTCCTTCATATTTGTTTTTTTGCGGCCGCTGCTAGTACAATCGCGCATGTAATGTAGCTTGGCGCAGCCCGTCGTTCGGCTCATCCCGTCCTGATCGGAGGTCAATAAGATCGTCTGCGATCGACGCGCCTGCGTCCGCCGCCGATTGGGTTCACGCGGCGCGCGCCATACATCTGACTGCCTCGTACTCGAGGCACTATCGCGTCTGAGTAACGGAAAGAGAGTCTGCCATCTCTTTCGACGATGCTATATTTTATCGCATGCCTTCTCTCTGATCGACCTGATCATACAGTTTGTATCGATCAGTCATGGGATACTAGTACAACCGAACATCGTATTCGGTACGGCTTACCAACTTACTTTCGACTGCGCCGGCTTCGTTTCGTCAAAGCCCCCTTCTCCGCCTGTCACATACGGCGGCGTGCACATCGCGCCACCCTCTTGTGCGCGCCGCCAACACGAGGAGACGCTCTGGGTCCTCGGCCGCGAAGCTGGCCGCTCGTGCGACGACGTGTGCGCCGAGCACGGGGGCCTGGCCTGTTCCGAGGCGGACATCGAGGCAGTGGCCGACGACGACGCGCTCGAGCGCGCGGCCCTCCTCGCGGGGCACCGATGCCCCGACTTGGCGGGCCTGCCGTACGACGGCCTCCCAGGCGTGTGCACCAGCATGGCGTGCTGCGGCGGCAGCTGCACGGGCAGCTGCGCATGTCCGGGGGGGGGGGAGGGCGAGCCCTGCCCCAGCCAGTTCTGCCCGCTTCTGCTTCTGGTCTGGCGCTGCTGTCTTCAGGGGGGCCGAGGCAAATCGCTGTCCAGCTGCCTGCGGGAAGCTCCGCCACCGTGCCAGCGCAGCACTCCATACGTGGATGCCCACATGGCGGTAACACGTGAAAGCTCTCGTAGCCATTCTTTGCGGGTCTCTCATGGGTTCTGTCTTGGGCTCCTTTGGGGCCTCCAGATGCCATCTTGAGGCTATCTCGGGCTATACCGTACCCCTTATGGTCCGTTTTGGGGGCTTCTTAGAGTTGGCCTGGGTCGTCTGGGGGGCTGTTGGAGGCCATCAGTTGGCTCGTTTGGTTTCTCTTTGGCTCATCCGAAGCTTTCTTGTAACCATCTTGAGCCCAGAGGCACAGGTAACGCAACACATTCGAAAACCATGGCAGTCTTCATGTTTTATATGATTTTTGGCCTTTCTTGAGGGCCTTCCGACCTTCTCTCTCATGTCTTGGAAGTTTCTTTGGACACCTTGGGCGCCTCTTGAGGCACTGTTGGGACATCTTGGCGGCCTTGGTGGCCTTCCTGGGCCATCTAGGAAACCTAGCAGAGATTTGGAGAACACCAGGGAGGCATGATGTCCGCCGCGGGAGCCTGGGAGCGGGGTGTGGCGCTTGCAGCTGGGCGCTATCAGGGGGGAGGAGGCCCTCAAAATACTTACAGACAGCACTTGGCAGTCTACCACACCCCAAGGCGCCAGGGGGGACGCTGGTGGATTATAAAGTGGAGAGGAGTATCTAGCCTCACGGCGTGTCAGCCTCCTTGGTAATTTTGTTAAGCGCCGCCCATAGGACGGCCCCGTGTGAGACGAAAGGTGTCCCCCTTGGCCTCGGAGATTTGCCGGAGGGGATCTGAAGGAGCTTTCAGTGGCCACCATTTCTCACAGCGGCGTCGTTAAGAGGTTCTGATGGGACCAGCGAGTCGCCAGAGCGCAGTCTGAGAGTGGTCAGGATGCTCCAAGTCGGCGGCGAGCGAGGGGGGGGCGCGAGAACGGGCGGGCCTTCTCAGAAGGCTCGGAAATCCCCCGACCTCCTGAGAAGTTGTCTAAACTTTCTTCGAAGACACCAAAAACCTTTCAGAAGGCCTTCTCTGAGAAGTCCCGCCGCCTTCGGAGAAGACCTTCTACTTCTCAGTTTCCCGCGCCCGGCGGCCGGATGAGGAGGAGGAGGAGGAGGAGGAGGAGGAGGAGGAGGAGGAGGAGGAGGAGGAGGAGGAGGAGGAGGAGGAGGAGGAGGAAAAGGAGGAGGAAAAGGAGGAGGAAAGGAGGAGGAAAAGGAGGAGGAAAAGGAGGAGGAGGAGGAGGAGGAGGAGGAGGAGGAGGAGGAGGGAGGAGGAGGAGGAGGAGGAGGAGGGAGGGGGAGCAGGAGGAGGAGGAGGAGGAGGAGGAGGAGGAGGAGGAGGAGGAGGAGGAGGAGGAGGAGGAGGAGGAGGAGGAGGAGGAGGAGGAGGAGGAGGAGGGAGGAGGAGGAGGGAAGGCGCGCGCGCGCGAGTGTTTTTTGATTGCCGCCGACCAGTGGAAAGAGGGTCTGCGGGGTGCTCCACGGGCCCCTCGTTCCGCGCGCCAGTCCGCTCCGCGCTGGGCCGCCGCACAGCCGGCAACTCCCGAGGCAACTCCCGGGGTGTTGCCGTGGGGCTGCGCAGACGGGTGCTTCTCGGGGGCGGCAATGGAGGGGGGTGATGACCAGGGGGGGCTGGATGTCATGGCGCGGGCCATGATATCTCCCCAGATTTCATGGCGCCTCTTCTGATTTTAATACGTCCCCGTTCCCCCCCTGGGCCGCCCCCTCTTGGACGCCCCCCCCCCCTCCCCTCCAGCCTCCAGCCTCCTCCTCCTCCTCCTCCTACTCCTCCCTCTTCCATCCCCTCCTCCCCCTCCTCCTCCTCCTCCTCCTCCTCCTCCTCTCCTCCTCCCTCCTCCTCCTCCCCTCCTCCCCCTCCTCCCCCTCCTCCTCCTCTCCTCCTCCTCCCCCTCCTCCCCATCCTCCTCCTCCTCCTCCTCCTCCCCTCCTCCCTCCCCCCCTCCCTCATCCCCCCTCCTTCCTCCTCCTCCTCCTCCCTCCCCTCCTCCTCTCCTTCCCTCCTCCTCCCTCCTCCTCCTCCTCCTCCTCCTCCTCCTCTTCCTCCTCCTCCTCTTGGTCGCCCCCGAGCTTCCCTGGGGACTCCCCGAGGCCTCGCGGGAGGGCCCCTGCGGCCTTCGGGCCTCCTGCGCGCTTCCCCGAGAGCCTCCCAGAGCCTCGCGGGCGCTGCCCCGCGCCTCCTCGAGGGGACATGTCGGCGGAGTTTTTGGAAGGTTTTTGGAAGGTTTTCCGGGATGTTTTTGGACGGTTTTTTTGAAGGTTTTTGGAAGGTTTTGTTGGAAGGTTTTTGTTGGAATGTTTTTTTTGAAGGTTTGTTTGAAGGTTTTTGGAATGTATTGGGCGGTTTTGCTAAATGCTGGAAGGTGTCAGGAAGGTGTTAGGAAGGTTTTCGGAAGGCTTTTTGGAAGGTTTTAGGAGGGTTCTTGGAAGACTCGGAGGCCCCCTGGCCTTCTGAGAGGCTTCCCGAGCCCTCCCGCGCGGCGCCGGCAGCCTCTTGGGCAGGCGCGCGGGCCTCCGAGAGGCCCCGCTGCCCTCTGAGGAGGCCCGCCCCCCCCCCTCTCGCCTCCCCCGCCTCGCCTCCGCCGCCTGCCCCTCGGAGACCCTGGGCGGGGGGGCACCCAGAGGTCCAACGTATTGAAAACATCACGAGACGGAAGCTTTTCGCCAACTTCGGCCTCGAGGGACCTTCGCCGGGCCCCGGGGCCGTCAAAAAACGACTCAGGACGAGACGCCGGTCCCGGGGAAGGGGTCGAGACTTCTGGGGACCCCGTGTGGAACAAATCACGACGCCGGGTCTCTGGGCAGACCTCCCTTCTCGATCGCTGCCCTGCCCTGCTAAGTTCAGGAGGGAGAAAAACACACAGACACAATGAATCGTCGATTCCCGAGGAAATGTGGGAAAACAAGGGAGGGGGGGGGGGAAGACAAAAACCCAGAAAACATGGGAAAATGTGGGGAATCCTTTTGTTTTTGTGTATTCGTTTGTGTGTCCTGGGGCCCCTTCATAGGTGCCGTCGCGCCGGCCCGGCCTCGGGCCGCGGCGGCGCCACAGCACCCGACGGCCGGAGCGGCACCGAGCCCGCCGTGCGCCATGCGCCGCCGTCGGGCGCGGGGCCCCCCCCCCGCCCGCTCGCCGCCGACCCCAGACCTCCTCGAGTCATGAAAAAATCACGACGGGCCCCCCAACGAGGCCCTCCCCAACGAGGCCCTCCCCAGACCCCCCTCGAGTCATGAAAAAATCACGACGGGAGGGTTTTCATTATTTTTGGCCTCTGGGGGCCCTCACCGGGCCTCGGGGCCGTCAAAAAACGACTCAGGATGACAAACCGGTCCTGGGGAAGGGGTCGAGATCTCTGGAGTCGACGTAATGAAAAAATCATTACGTCGGGGGTCTGGGACCCCCGACGTCATGATTTTTTCATGACGCGACCCCCAGAGGTCCAGACCCATTCCCCGGGACCGGTTTTTCGTCCTGAGTCGTTTTTTGACGGTCCCGAGGGCCGGTAAGGGCCCTCAGAGGCCAAGAATAGCGAAAAACCTCCCGTCGTGATTTTTTTCATGACTCGAGGAGGTCTGGGCATGGTGCCCCCCCCCCCTCGCGCGTCGGGGCTCGAGCCTCGCGCCTGCCCTCGCTCGCGCCTCGCCCCGCCCTCCCCCCCCCGTCTTCGCCGCCGCCCGGGGCCGCCGCGAGGAGGAGGGGGCCCCTCCGAGGGCGCCTCTCGCGCCGAGGGCGCCCGTGGCAGCCCGGCCTTGCCCCTTCTCTGCCCCCCCCCCCAGGCCCAGACCCCCGACGCAATTCATGCTTTTTTCATTGCGCCGACCCCAGAGTTCTCGACCCCGTTCCCCAGGACCGGTTTGTCCTCCTGAGTCGTTTCTGGACGCTCCCGAAAAAATGGCGAAAAGCCTCCCGCCATGATTTTTTCACTACTCGAGGGGGTCTGGGGTCCCCTCCCCGGACCCCCTCCCCTGAGATCCTGGCGCCGGAGCTGTTCTCGCCGGGCGCTCCGTCGCCGCCTTTTCCGGTCCCCAGGGCCCTCGCAGATCGGCCCCGCCGGCAAGAGGACGCAGGAAGATGGGGTCCGGGGCTCCGGTCGCAGTTCTTTTTGCAACGTCAGATGCTGTTGCAATGTTCTTTTTTTGGTGGTCTCCAAACCAGGTGGTGAGACACCCGGTGGTGACCCCGATTCCCCAAAAAACAATTCTGGGTCACCACCGGGTTTGGGGACACGCGGTCGCCACGAGGTTTTGCGTTTCCTGGGCCAGCCACCGCTCGAAAACCATTACCCAAATCGCCCAAAGCTCACCACCGGTGTTCTCACCACCACGTTTGGGGACCACCAATTTTTGCAGCGACGGTTTGCGATGTTGCAACTCTTTCTGCAGCGTCGGATCTCCGGGTCGGGCAGCGGAGAAGCCAGGGGCGGGAGGCCGTTCGAGGTCCTCGGCCTCCCAGGGGGCCCCATGCCAGGCCTCGGGGACCGTCCGAGAGCGGCTCGGCGTGAGGAGCCGGTCCCGGGGACGGGGTCGAGGCACCTGGGGGTCGAGGTTATGAGGAAGGCATGGC